TCATGCCAGATACTTGATTCGAAGTCTTGGGTCTCTCCGGGATGCTACAGAAGCCAATTCCGCCTGACCAGCGCTTGCCTGGAGTTTCGGGCATTTGCGGCATTTGCTCCTCATTTCTTCGTTTTGGGTCGTAGGCGTGGATGGGTTGCAATTGGAATACCCGTCAGAGTTGCACCCCAGGCTAGATGCCGACAATGAACAGGACACTTGGAACATGTACACAGTCCACCCGTCTTCATTGAGGTCTTGCCTCACCGTGTGCCAACTGTCTTTCCGCATTCCCGGGGGAAGTGATCTGGAAATGGCTTCTATGCTGGCGAGGAAGTAGTCTCCGCGCGTACAGGTGGACCGGCTCACCACCCCATCTCCCTGGACCAAAAAGCAAACCTGGCCTCTGTAACCCTCAAACCCTACCCCCACACACCATACAGTAGTACCCTAAACCCGAAATCGTGCCCAGGGTTTCCTGCAGGTGGTCCACACTGCACTGGCCATGCACATGAGTTCTGGCTCCCTGCCTCCATGGGAGTTTTTTATGCAGCTTTTGGGATGACGGCTTGGGGCTTCAGGCTTCGGGGTTTAGGGTTTAGGGTTTAGGGTATAAGGGTTAAGGGTTCTGGGTTTAAGGTTTACGGCTTAGGGTTTAGGGTTAGAGGCCCGGGAGACAGGAAACGTCCAAAACTGTCCCAAGAAAACCTTGTCTGTCAAGGATGGGCTCGAGGGCAGGCTGCACAGGTAATTGAAAATGCAATGCATAGCGCCGCCTGCACATGTCTATACAGGAGGATCTCTTGCCGCATCTGTTTGCAGAATGACACAGCCACAATGTAACCAAAAAACGGAACATCCAAGGCAACTTCCAAGAGCAAGCATGGATACTAGCCACACTCAGCCTGATACCCCTTGCCAGTCCGTGAGCCTATGACACGCGATTCCGAGATCCTCCAATCAATGCGGGCATACACATCTCGAGGAAGGGCACGGGGTGGCAAAAGGAGAGTGGCGACAGCCACTACTAGCGGCCTCCCGTGCGAGCATGGAAGTGCCTCAACTTGTGCAAGGCCCCGTGCTTGGTGCTTAAGAATTATTCAGATGACACACGGTTGGCGGGTGCTGATGTAGAGGGAGCGGAGCCAGCAGTGAGTTGCACTCTTGCCTACTGTGGGCCAAAGCCCACCCAAAATGCCCTGACTAGGAACCATCAGCTATCCCCTGCTGCCCGGTCGTGAGCAGCCCATGCAGCTAAGGCTCACAGGAATGCTCCACTTGGTCCATGGCGCGCGTTTGCGGCGCTCGCGCTCCTCAAGCGACAACCGTGAAACAAACCTCAACCCTAAACCCTAAACCCTAAACCCTAAACCCTAAACCCGAAACCCTAAACCCTAAACCCTCAACTGAAAAACCCTAACCCCTAGACCCTAGACCCTAAACCCTACCCTAAACCCTAAACTCTAGGAGCCCCTCGACTGCCTGAGCAAACTACCCACCAAGACGGCGTCTCCTCGCGGGCGGCCTGCTTCCAGGTGGCGTGGCAGTGCTTCCTTGGCAAGACAGAAGGTGCATGGGTTCCCCTCAGTAACCCCCCCCCCCTCTCTCTCCATTCGGGTTTTGGGGGGGAAACCTAAAAAGGGCAGAATAGAGGATTTTAGTAGGGACACCTATGAAAGGTTTGGCTCGGGGGGCCAGCCGTTCGAGAACAGTAGCCGGTAGCCTCTCTCCTTCTGCTCCCTGTGCCTCCCTCTCCCTCCCCCTCTCCCTCCCCCCCCCTCCCCTCTTCCCTTTCCCGCTCTCCCGCTCTCCCACTCTCCCGCTCTCCCACCCACTCCCACCCACTCCCACCCACTCCCACCCACTCCCACCCTCCCTCCCTCCCTCCCTCCCTCCGTCCCTCCCTCCCTCCCTCGCTCCTCCCTCCCTCCCTCGCTCTCCCTCTCCCTCTCCCTCTCCCTCTCCCTCTCCTCTCCCTCTCCCCTCTCTCCCTCTCCTCTCTCCCTCTCCCTCTCCCTCTTCTCCCTCTCCTCTCCCTCTCCCTCTCTCTCTCGCTCTCTCTCGCTTCTTTCTCTCTCTCTCTCTCTCTCTCTCTCTCTCTCTCTCTCTCTCTCTCTCTCGCTCCCTCTCCCTCCCTCCCTGATTAAACCCTAAACCCTTAGCCCTCACACACATGCCCTCAACAAGCCAGACCTTCACACGTAGTCCAACGCCCTTACCTTTGAAGAACCCGCCTTTTCCGCACAGCAAGCTTATTTAAGTCGAGCCAGGTCGCCAGGTGTTTTCGCCAATGTCCCACCTTGATTCAATGTTCGCGAACAAGCCCCGCAACACTTTTTGTGCCAGCTGACCCTAGTCCTCTACATTAGAGTCCTTTTAGGGGCCCTCTGTATAGTGCTGCACCCTTGACAAAGGATCTCGAAGTAGAGCAAGTAGAGAACTACCCATTTCGTTGCAGCGAAAAGCACAGGCACGCTGTGATCAACAGAGATGCCCTTCATCCCCAAACGACTGGAACTTCGAAGCTCTGTGGTTCCGCCCAGAAGAGGGGTTCAGGGAGTAGGTTTTAAGCTTTAGGGTTTAGGATATTTTCCCACCTAAACCCTAAACCCTAAACCCTAAACCCTAAACCCTCAGCCCTAAGCCCTAAACCCTCAACCCTCAACCCTCAACCCTCAACCCTCAACCCTAAACCCTAAACCCTAAACCCTAAACCCTAAACCCTAAACCCCAACACCCAAGACTCAGGGAGCCCAGAGAATCCCAGGCACAGCATCTTGAACTTGCTTGCTGCTTCGGCCTCTGACGGCACCGGCTCAGGGTTTAGGGTTTAGGGTTTGGGGTTTGGGGTTTAGGGTTTAGGGTTTGGGGTTTAGGGTTTGGGGTTTAGGGTTTTAGGGTTCAGCGTGTAGAGTGTAGGGTTCAAGGCCTGACGCCTTGAATTCAAGCCCCTGGCCTCCGTGCCTGGGCACGGACAAATGCCAGAAACCAAAACCTGAACCCTGAGCGCCTCTTTTTGTAAGGGTTTAGGGTTATACTTAGGGTTATAGGGTTTAGGGTTTAGGGATAGAGTCCCCGAAACCCTAAACGTCCCTAAGTCCCCCAAAAACCCCCAAGCCCAACACCCTCTTGCGCCTCCGCGCCGAAACCAAAGGCCCGGTGGAGGCAGGTGGAAACTTGCTGGAAGCTACCCCACCTTGCAAACACGTAACTCAACGTTTAGGGTTCTTTGGCAAGGATTTAGGGTTTAGGTCGGGCGGCTGGGAATGTCAGGACAGAACGCTTCCCCTTGTGAGGCGAAAGTTCTTCTAAAGTTCGGGGTGCGTTTTCGATGCAAAACCGCAACTCACAACACAACATGGCAATAAATCCCGTCTTCACCTCATGGCCCTGTCATCAGCGTTGGCTCATCAGTCTCATGGACCAGTGACCTACCTCCCCCTCGCCAGACCAAGGGTTTGGGCGGTTTAGGCTTCTAGCCTTTTGCAACCCGGACTCTTGCTGTTAGCCCTAAACCCCTAAACCCTAAACCCTAAACCTTAAACCCTAAACCCTAAACCCTAAACCCTAAACCCTAAAACCCTAAAACCCTAAAACCCTAAACCCCTCCACCTCAAAACCCGAGCCGGCTTTGCATTTAAGCTCGGGGCTTGGCCTTCAGAGCTGTAAGCCCGGAGCCAGCCCTAAACCCTAAACCCTAAACCCTAAACCCTAAACCCTAAACGTGTCTGCCGAGGAGCAGGTCATCGACCGAAGCCGCCCCTCCGCAGTCCTTCCGAAGGGATGGGGCTCTAGGGGGTTTAGGGGTTTAGGGGTTTAGGGGCTTATAGGGCTTATAGGGCTTGTAGGGTTTATAGGGTTTATAGGGTTTATAGGGTTTATAGGGTTTATGTATAGGGTTTATAGGGTTTATAGGGTTTATAGGGCTTATAGGCTTTATAGGCTTTAGGGCTTTAGGCTTTAGGGATTTGGGCTTCGGGACTTCTTAGGGAAGTTAAGGTTCACCCTCAACCCTGAACCCTTCTTGCACCTGCCCAAGAGAATTCAACACCCCTGGGATCCCTAATAGCTTTCTTGGGCCACTGCTTCATGAAGCGGCTTTGGGCACCATAAAGCCTAAACCCTAAACCCTAAACCCTAAACCCTGAACCCTGAACCCTGAACCCTGAACCCTGAATGCCGGAGTCATTTTTCTCTGGCACAGCTGGCCCACGCATCGCAGAGACGCGTTCTAAGCCGAGCAAGAAACCTCCTGACCGCCCGGCAGGATATCTCTTCCGGACATCCTCTTCAGGGCTGCCCGCACTTCCTTAACTTACTCCTCCGAAAAGCCATAACTACTGACATAAAGCTTTCGGGAGGCTCCCAACAACGAGGCACGCCTTGAGCTCTTGTGGCTCTTGCAGAAAAGCTGACTGCCATCGCGATGCAGAGGCATTTGTTAATGCCAACACTATGCGTAGGTCTCCAATATTCAAGGCATGCAAAGGGTTAAACTTTATTTCCCTAGCAAATCCGAAAACCGCCACATTTAAAGTTCAACTACTGGCTAAGTAAGTAAAAGGAGCGTACCCGCATGGATGTCCAAAAAAGGAACCAGAAATTTGAAACCACCCTCCAGTAAACATTCGAAGCTACAATTGGATGTGCGATAAGCCACAGCAGGGCTACATAAAGGCCCTGGCAGGTAGAAGCACTAAGAAATCCAGGGGGGTGCTCGGGGTTCTCTAGCCCGAGGAGGTTCTGACTCACCGGCTTAGGGCGTGCAGTACATTCCAAAAAGTTGGAACACCCTTATCCCTTTACCCCAAAAGGTATACTAAAGGGAATCCCAGCTCTAACCATCCTAAACCATGTTCCAGCTTTCTGGAGTTCACTGTAGGTTTAGGCTTTCTGCAGTTCAGGGTTTAGGGTTCAGGGTTTAGGGATTAGGGTTCAGGGTTTAGGGTTTAGGGTTTAGGGTTTAGGGTTTCGGGTTTAGGGTTTACTGTAAGTTTAGGCTTTCTACAATCCTAAGCTCTGCATCTCCTGAGCCCGTGCTCAACCAGATCGGCTTGCACCTCGTAGCCGACGACCACCACGTCTGAGAAGCGCTGCTCCTCCTGCTTACTGTTTTAATAGGGTTTAGGGGGGAGGGTTTAGGGTTTAGGGTTTAGGGTTTAGGGTTTAGGGGTTAGGGGTTAGGGGTTAGGGTTTAGGGAATGGGGGACTGAGTTACCCTATATACTCCCTTAAGGGGTCTAGATCGGGCCCCCTACTTCCCTGCTAGCCAACAGCCGTAAGCCTGCCCCCACTTCGCAGTCAGGGCGACCGTGCCGTCAAACGCAGCGTGGACGGCTTGAAACGCAAACTTGGCGTCGTAGCCCGAGATGGCCAGCACTCCCTTGGCCCGCATCACCTCGGCTGATCTCGTCGGTTTGGGTTGCGGGTTTAGGGTTGAGGGTTCTGCAGGAGAGCTTGCGGGGGGTTGAGGGCGTAGAAGGCAGTGCAAGCTTTAGCAAGAAAGCTGCTAAACACGAACGCCAAAGCGTCGTCCATATCCTGCAGCGTGCGCAGAACCCAGCGGTTGAACGCATCCAAATCCAGGTTGCCCTGGATGCGCACAGAAATGCATCGAATCTGGGGGCGACCTGCTGTGCTGCTCTCTGCAACAGGCTGTGGGTCCTTGCCGGGCTTGAAACGACAGAGCACGACAGAGCTAATCTAAGAAATCATCAGAAGCGCTCCAGGGGCTAGTGCTCTGCAAGAGCTCTCACATCTCTCACATATATCTGGGTAGCCCAGTCCCCTTTTGTGGGATAGTTACTTTATAAGGGAACCTTGAAACCCAAAAAAAGGGAAAAGGGGTACCACTGGGCTACCTGGATATCTGACGTCCTGGGGTATGCAGACGCTTTGCATCTGGATGTCCTCAGACAAGGCCCTGTAAGGCGACCATGCCCCTGGACCGAGCCACGGTTTGCACCCACCTCCCTGGAGTACGCCGAAGTCCACCTCACAGTAGCTGCAGGGCCGCACTTCCGCGGGGTTGATCTCCCTGATGGCCTTGCGCAAAGCCTCGAAGTCATGGGACCTGCACTGGTCCATCTTGTTCAGCAAGAGGACCGAGGCAAGGGCAATCTGCGCCTCCACGAGCCGCGCGGCCGGGGTGGAGGTGCTTGCGAGGAGGTGCCGGCTGACGTGGGCGGCATCGATGACGGCAACGACCTCCTGGATCTGCAGAGATCTCTTCATCTCCTCCGGGGGGGCGAAGCTCTCCAAACAGACCGGTTCGAGGTGTCTTGGGGTTTGGGACTTCAAGGCTTCGAGGGAGGGATCGTGAGTTCTTGCTCCAGGCCTTAGAGGCCGCAGTACAGGCGTCAAGCTCTCAACAGCAGCTCCAGGGATGTGCGTGGTCACTGATCGGACAAGGCTTCTGACTCGGAGTGGGTACTCTGCAAACTGAAGCTCAACACCCACACACATCCCCTAAACCCTAAACCACAGACCCCAAAAACCCTAAACCCCAAACCCCAAACCCCAAACCCTAAACCCCAAACCCCAAACCCTAAACCCGACAGCGATGCACGACTGTCCTCATCAAGGAGGAAGGTTTTCACCACCGCGCGCGGGTCTGCCAGACCACAGCACTCCTCCATCCCATGGCTTTTGCGGCTTGAGGCTAAATATAAAGAATATACCCGTAAACCCTAAACCCTAAACCCTAAACCCTAAACCCTAAGAATATAAAAATGTGTTGCTAGAACCATAGGATAAAAAAATATTCTAGTATTCTAATAGTACAGTACTCTATTAATATGTTCACATAACAATAGAAGAATATGAGCATACAACAATATTGCAATATAGCAATATAATACGACAAGAAGATACCTAGATACGAATTTAATCATATGCTAATACATTACGCTAAACAAATTGAAATAGAATACTATAATGATCTAATAATGTGATATTACAATAATATAATAACACAATACAATACAAAAAAAAAATGTGAAACAAATAATATGACCGTTTAATAAGAACAACAAACAATCATAATCATGAATAATAATGAATAAGAATGCATAATAATGAATGATGATAATGAATAATCATAATAATGAATAATCATAATAATAATTAACAACAATTAATAATAACAATAATAATAGTAGTAATAGTAATAACTAAAATAAGTATTACTTCTTAATGTTAATAATAATAAGAATACTAATAATGCTACTAATAGTAGTAGTAGTAGTAATAATAATACATATTACTCTATTGATGTAACAATATAATAAGATAATCAATATAGCATAAAAAGGAACCGTATATCAATGTGATAACATAGTATAACATGATGAGGGTTCTGACTGGCTTGCGTGCCTTGCGTGTGGTTTCACAGGGTTCCAGGGTTCAGGGAAAGATGCAAGTCATCAAGCGCAAAATGGCTCTTAGACCGCGTGCCAGGCACAATGACGACGCCCTCCGTGTCGCCCAGACCTCTTTCTCGCAGGTGGCAGAGCCGATCCCTCAGGTCGCGCCGAATCTGACAGCAAGCGCAGCCGTTGATGAGCACTACGTTCTCCTCGCCGGCTGCCTGAAGGGCAGGCTGCATCACAAAGCTGCACCACAAACACGCACACACACACACACAAATTTAATGTAAAAAAACAATCCGCAAATCCGAGGTCGAGACCTCTCATGCCAGGCCCGCGAGTTCTCAAGCATCAACCCGAAACCCAACCGCCCCCAAGAGGCGCCCCGCGCCTCTATCACCAGCTCCGCATCCAGGCTGGTGTCTCCCGTTTCATTCCTAGGTTGGCCCCTACTACTCTGAAAAAGGTTCATAAATATGAATTCTCTTAAAGCCAAAAACCCAAAATGTCCCAAGAACCTACCTTAAGCTGTTAAGCCCTCTGAAAAAGGTTCATGAATATGATTCTCTTAGACCCCAGAAATCCAAAATGTCCCAATTGGTCCTACCTTAAGTCCCCTGAAAAATGTTCATGAATAATTATGATTCTCTTAACCCCAAAAAATCCAAAATGTCCCAAGGTCCGACCTAGATGCTGGATGACAAGGAGACGACGGCTCTGTCGAACGAGGTGGTTGACCAGGGTCGTCTTACCGCTGCCAAGGAAGCCCGTAACAATCCAGACGGGCAGCCTTGGTAGCCCAGCAAGCATATTATAAATGAGGGTTTAGGGTTTAGGGTTTAGGGCTTAGGGTTTAGGGCCCCCCCCCCCCCCCCCCTTCCAAAAAAAGAAAGCGGGGTAAAGGGTGCCACTGGGCTAGCAAGCAGCTTTGCCTCACTGCCATGAGCCCCCTGCGCCTCGCAGAGAGGCGGCTCTGTCCACCGAAGGCCCGGCTTTAGCAGCGGAAAGAGTGGCCGAAGGCCTGTTCATTGCGTTCCCCTAGTACCCCCATTCTAGAGACTACTACCCCCCCCCCCTAGGTTCCCCCCTTTAACTACCCTTAATGAGGCTCATTTAAGGGGGAACCTAGGGGGAATGAAGCAATACCCTTAATGAAGCTTTTATTTAAGGGGGAGCCTAGGGGGAATGAAGCTTATTGAAGGGGGGAACCTAGGGGGGACCCTAAACCCTAAACCCTAGACCCTAAACCCCTGGACCTGTGGAGGCCACCGCCAGCGCCAGGGCGGCCGCCAAGGGCCCGAGCCGAGCTGCGGCAGCCACCTGAGCTTGTCAAGGGTAGCCTGGGGGCAAAATTGAAGGTTGACCTTTTGGGATGGTTATAGGGACTAGGAATACCCCAAAAAGAGGTTAACCTTTGGGATGGTAAGAATTATAGGGACTAGGAATACCCCCCAAAAAAGGTCAAAATTGAAGGTGAACCTTTGGGAGGGTTCTAGGGACGAGGAATACCCCCCAAAAAAAGGTCAAAATTGAAGGTGAACCTTTGGGATGGTTATCATATTATAGGGACTAGGAAGGCCCCCAAAAAAAGGATAAAGGTTGCCTACTCTACGTGCTACTCAGCGGCCAAGAATAGCAGGCCCATGGCCCCGGAGGCCGCGATGAGCAGCTGCTGCTGTTGCCCAAAAGGCCGGAACCGGATTCCCCAGAGCGCCTTCCGCAAGCGGCTCGCCTCATCCGGCTGCTTCTTTCGCGAGTGCACCCAAAAGACAGCTCCGGTGCAAAGGACCGACACCTGGCGGCGAAGGCTTAGTTTTCGGGTTTGCTGTAGGGTTTTGTAGGGCTTGCAGGATTTAACGCGTTCCCTGCGCCCAGCCCTGCCCACCAAGAGTGGGGAGGCCCAGAAGTCGAACTCATCGGGCAGCAACATCGCAGAGCGGCGGCAGGGTTTGGGGTTTAGGGGTTTAGGGGTTTAGGGGTTTAGGGGTTTAGGGGTTTAGGGGTTTAGGGGTTTAGGGGTTTAGGGGTTTAGGGGTTTAGGGGTTTAGGGGTTTAGGGGTTTAGGGGTTTAGGGGTTTAGGGGTTTAGGGGTTTAGGGGTTTAGGGGTTTAGGGGTTTAGGGGTTTAGGGGTTTAGGGGTTTAGGGGTTTTAGGGGTTTAGGGTTTGGGGTTTCGAAATTTCGCTTGTGCAAGCGGTGGCTGCGGAGGAACATGCGGAGGAACCAACACGGAGCCCTGAACCTGAACTCCCTGCCTGCGGGGGTTGGCAGGTTTCGTCTCTTCTGTTTCTCTTTGCTATGGTCCCTTTTTGGGTACCCTAAATAAGAGGGGCCACCTCATGAAATCACATTGTACACCTGGGACTCTCTTTACCTAACTATGGGGCAGGTACTACGTACAAAACTCTTCGTTGGGACAGGGGTAGTTACTCCCTAAACCCTAAACCCTAAACCCTAAACCCTAAAATGTAGGTAAAGAAAGCCCCAGGTAGGTTCTTTGCAGGGTCCTGCACCGCCATGGTCGTGAAGACTCTGGCATAAGCCTGAAGGCAGCCTGGGGAGTCGGGCCCACCAGACATGGGGTTTAGGGTTTAGGGTTTAGGGTTTGGGTTTAGGGTTTAGGGTTTAGGGTTTGAGGTTTAGGGTTTAGGGTTCAGGGTTTGCTCAGGTTCCGCGCACACCACCACGCGGGACGTGTGTTGTGGTGTGCGCCCAGGTTCAACACACTCTCCCAACCCACCCACCCACCCACATCTCAACCTTGGGCGGGTTTAGGGGGTTTAGGCTAATTCTCTTTGGAGCCAGACTGACGCTGGCACGCGAGGCTAAGGCTCGGGCTCGTCCGCGGGCCTGTCGCCACGCGGTATCGCTCGCCGCTTATCGCAGCGCCCGCGGCTCGCTCCAGTTTAGGGTTTAGGGTTTAGGGCTTAGGGCTTAGGGTTTAGGGTTTAGGGTTTAGGGTTTAGGGTTTAGGGTTTAGGGTTTAGGGTTTAGGGTTTAGGGTTGAAGGCTTAGAAGCAAGACTTGCGATGACAGTGCTTCCGCGAACTGCCCCCATAGCATTCTCCTAAACGCTGGGCAGCGCCGGAAGCCTCTATCACTCTATCCCACAACCAACAGAATCACGAAGCCCAAAGCGATGTTGTCAGCGAAGGCCCAGCAAAACTGCCAAAAGGATCAAGCCTGTCTTTGGGTCATATGTGGGGGTTTACACAAACAGGGGACCCCAATATAAATCCCCAAATAGTAGGATCCCCCTGATAACAAGGACCCCAATAAGGTACCCCGAATATATTGTAAACCTCCCATGAACTTTGGAGAGGGTAGTTCCGGCGAATGCAAGGCCACTCTCAGTTGACCAGGGAGCTCAGCATGCGCGTCCGCGAGATGATGATATGAAACTCTGCGGCATCGAGGGCCTTAGTGCTGAGAATGACGAAACATGAAGAAACTTGAAACTAAACCCCCTAACCTACCCTAAACCCTAAACCCTGAACCCTAACCCCTTACCCCTAAACCCTAACCTCCATGGACAGGATTTTGGGGCCGGCGCAAACTCGAGAGGCCACCCTAAATCCCTAAACCCCCTAAACCCCTAACCCCCCTAAACCCCAAACCCTAAACCCCCTAAACCCCCTAAACCCCAAACCCTAAACCCTACACCCTTTTGCATCCGGAAACCCTGCACCCTAAACCCCAAACCCCAACCCTAAACCCTCAGACCAGTAGCCCTCGGCCCGGAAGCCCTCCCTTTCTGCTGGCCAGGCGGCCATGAGCTCTCCGCGGAGGCAGGGTGGCCGGTGCATGAGATCTGTGACAGGCTAGGGTTTAGGGTTTAGGGTTTAGGGTTTAGGGTTTAGGGTTTAGGGTTTAGGGTTTAGGGTTTAGGGTTTGGGGTTTGGGGTTTGGGGTTTAGGGTTTGGGGTTTAGGGTTTAGGGTATAGGGTTAAGGGTTTGCCACAGGGTGTAGGGTTTGGGGTTCAGGGTTCAGGGTTCAGGGTTCAGGGTTTAGGGTTTAGGGTTTAGGGTTTAGGGTTTAGGGCCAATGCCTTGCTTGCAGGCTCGGTTTTCTTGAAGTGCAACCCAAGGCTTGTGGGGGCTGAGAGGTTGGGGGATTTTCGGGGGTGGGAGGGGGGCATCGGATCTACAAAGCAGACGAAAGCCCGCTTGTTCAACCTAGTGTCGATGGAAGTGATAATTCTTGGGTTAAAAAGCCGGGTAATAAGAGCAGAGGTAGACCCTAAACCCTAAACCCCAAACCCTAAACCTTCATGAGGTTCCGATGCTGTCGGGTGGCCGACTTTGCTTTCATGAACAAGCTGGAGGTACTTCGCCGTGGCCAGGGTCAAGCGCCCTGACAGGGTCCCAGTGAACCCCAAGACCCCTTCATTCAACCCTAAACCCTAAACCCTAAGCCCTAAATCCTAGACCCTAAACCCAAGTTCACACCAGGGGCTTAGACCGGGCGAAGATATTATCAAGCCAGCATTTCAGCATTCCACCGTCAAGAACGTGGTGTCCTCTCTTCGGGCAACCAAAACTTCTAGCTCCTGTTCGTGGCTTGATTCACCAACCACCAAGGAGTGAAAAGATTAAACTTCGCTCTTCCTACTAGTACAAAGACCCCGCCCCTAGGGTTTCGGTAAACCCAAAACCATAAACCCTAAATCCTGAACCCAATCCCCTATACCCTCAACCCAATCCCCAATCACCCCAGAAAGATCTTCGAAACTAGCTCCAAGAAGGTACGGGCCTCTGATTCCAGGCGGGCTTCGGGGTTTAGGGTTTGGGGGTTTGGGGTTTAGGGTTCAGGGTTTGGGGTTGAAGCTCTTTTGCTCAACCCTCAACCCTCAACTAAAAAAAATCTTGGAGCCAGAACGAAGCAGGTCCCTACTTGCCAGTCTTTGGCACGGCCTTTGGAGTTTCGAAGGGCTTCGGGCTTCTGCACGAGGCAGGCAGGGTTAAGGGTTTAGTTTAGGGTTCGGGTCTACGGGCTGGAGGGTTTAGGGTTGGGGCTTAAGACACCTGAAACCCCATCTTCCACTGTCTGCGCCAGCCTCGATGCTCCCAGTTGCACCTCACAGCGGTTTTGGCGGCTTGTTTGAACCCGGACTCTTGCACCAAATCAGCTGGAGCCGTGCACGCTTAAACCCTAAATCCTGAAGCCTAGACCCTAAACCCTAAACCCTAAACCCTAGACCCCAAACCCTAAACCCTAAACCCTAAACCCTAAACCCTAA